AAGTGGGTGTGTGTCATGTTTGAAAATATGGGTGCGGTACAAGGACGATTCAAATTCGTGAAGATTTGGCTAAAATGATACTTGACAATGACGACACAATGACAATGACCCACTTTCTGAAACGCGAATACTTTTGACTAGTTGACAATGACCTAACACTGCCAGAGTTCATGGGAAACAAGCTTAACGTTTGCACCGATGTGCTACTGCGCTATTTCGCAGTGAAATGGTCATAAAGTGTTGGAGGACATACAGTTTCTTTATCATTCCTCTCTACTTAATCTCCCAAATTTTTTTCCCCATTTAAATTCGCAATTACCAAAACCAAAAATTTATGAACCTAATAATCAAGCTTTGTCACCTTCAATTGTTAATCCTTTTGAGTTAATCCATTTTCCTAAATTGTACTGTAATATTATCAACATTTCCTTCTTTTTAAAAAAAAGTATGTATAACTATAATATAAATTTATTGTAATAATTCGATTAACATTACTGTTTGTGAATTTCGAAGTACTGTCCTTTTGTTTATTTCAAGATTATTTTCCCCAATATTCCGGAATTTTTCCTAATAATCGGATTGTACAGCACAACATTTCAGAGATAAGAAAAATCGGTGAACCTTGCTGTGATGTTTGTAAAATCACCTGCACAAGCAATGATTGTCTTGAAATGCATTTGGGGGGAAAGAAACACCAGAAGAGCTTACGAAAGCTCCAAAACCCGATTCCCTTATTTACTCCAACCAAAGATGCTGCTGAAACACCAGTTCCAGTGAGTGTAACAATGCACAACACAACCATTCAAAAAAAAGAAAAGTGGAAGAACCATGGTGTGATGTTTCCAAGATCGGGTGCACAAGCAATGATTGTCTTAAGATGCATTTAGTGGGAAAGAAACACCAAAAGAGCTTACGAAAGCTCTACAAACCCATTAACTAATAATTTCTCCACTATTGTTGAACTCAGTGCTATCCCTCACCCCACTTAGCTCTTTCTGGTTGTGTTATATTTATCCAGTTGTCTGTTTCAAAAACAATTTTAGAAGTGTAGTAGTATGGTACATTGGTCGGACTATGTTCAGAGAATGCATTTTGTATATAATCTATTTTGTGGAAATTAGGATGTAATAGTTATTAAGAACTTTGCCCAACAATTGCATGCTTCTTGCTGTGTTTATAAAGTTTGTTTAAGATTAGGACCGGATTATTATTAACAGTAAACTAATCGCATTAGTTCACAAATCATGTGCTATTTCAATAACTAAAAATCCTGTGCAGCCCTCTCGTACTAAGCATATTAATGCACGACATAATTTTATAAGAGATCATGTTGAAAAAGGTGATGTTTCTATTTCTTTTATCTCTCCTACTTATCAATTAGCTAATATTTTCACTAAGCCTTGAAGTGAAGAACGATTCAATTTTATTCGGCTGGAGTTGGGGATGCTAAATAATAATGCATCTTCGTAGAGGGAGTAAAGGCACACTCTACATATCTTATTATTTATTGTGAGTGGCTGAGGGGCACGCTGCACATTATGTCAAGGCCTTGACCCTTATGTCACGTCCTTGATATACATCGTCAGTAAATAAATATTGGAACAACATATCTTTTTAAATTGTATTTCGAAAATAACCGATTACAATTAATCTCCATATTTGTCTTAAAACATTATGATTACCTAAAACATTATGTATACCTATACATTTGGCTGATTTTTGTACCACTTTAGACACGAACATACAAAATTGTTCAGGGTGGTATAAGAGATATATACAAAATTGTACCACTTTTGACACAGTGGTACAAAACACTCATGTTTTGTACCACTCTCGAAATATGGTGTTACCCTTCTCAATTCCGAACTGCGAAACATATTATTATGTGTAACCTGAACACAAAGTTAACAAATCATAATCTACAAGTTTGAAAAAGAATTACCATTAATACAGATCATATGCATTACACAGGACCGGTGAGTAGACCACGTAGTATTTCATAAAATAAGCTTATTTCCCTAATGCATTTACAAGTCATACAAGATATTGTACTTTCCGCATCCTCGTCGTAAAGAGGATCCCATGGGTTTAAGTTATTTTCGTGCTGTAGTTTTTGTTTGCAGAATATTTTCGGCTGTGGCATATGATGTACAATCATATGATTGTGCATCCAATTTGAAATCGCCATCTCACGTAACTTCCTACTGCACTTGACTATCCCTGCAAATCTAATGTTGTTGATAGTGTTCTCCAAAAGCTTAACACCCCTTTCTTCTTCTCTGGTGTATATGTATATGAGGCTTACTACATATGCTGCCACTGAATTCTGCAACTCCGTTGCTCTTTCTAACATCGTCAAACCTTCGTCTAGCACCAGGGTATTGAAGAATTGTCACTACGGTAAAGAGAAATGCTAAAAACGGTAACTAGAAGTCGACAACCTAAATTCTAACGAATAAAATTCACAATAAATGAGAAAGAAGACGTACAAATCCAAACTCAAGCAGAGCTTCAGGATGTTCATTCTCTATGCACTTCATGAAGAACTTCTCCGCCGCTTGTCGGTGTGGCCACGACAATCGTGTTGTAATCCAACGGAGGTGAATTTGTTGAAGGACCCCTTTTTCTTCGGCTATCCGTCGCAGTCTTTTACAACTATTATCAAGTTATACGACAGAAATTAGATTATTACATTCTCTGTGTATGTGATGAGAAACAGAGTGCATGTTGCAAGTATAAGCCTACCTTAATTTTCACCGAAATAAATCAGCAGGAGATGACTTAGCAACGAAACTTAGAATGGTCGCCAACACTTCTGACGGAAGGATGTCAACCATAGAAGTTGTAAATTTTTGCCTATTCGCTTCTACATCCATTTTTGATTTTCTTTTCTACATCCATTTTTGATTTTCTTAGACAGGAAGATCGCTTTGTTCGAATAGAAGGAAGTTAAAGTTTTTGGAAAAAGTGTTTGACACATAAATAGACTTCAAAGTAACGGTTCACCTTCATGCATGGGAGTGAATGTAGTGGTTTGGGAGTTGTGATGATGATGGTGGTTAATAGAATTAGTGGGGATGATTTGTAAACCGGCAAGGATTTCTTGGAAACTGCCAATTAGAAGTTATGCATGCATACATTAATTAATGGTACATATCTTACTCAATAAAAGTACCAATAAATGTACCACTATACCAAGATTTCTAGATGGACAGGGTAAGTTATTGTCCTTTAAAAACAGAAATATTGAATGAATAGATCGCAAATTATGAGATTTAACTATTTCTTTTTCCTCTTTTTCCCTGTGGGAAGATATTGATAACGGGGAAAATGGTGTCATCATTTGCGCTTACAAATTCGTTTTGTGCTTGTACCCCAAAAAATCATTTTTGCTCGAATCATTAACAGAAAGAATCAAATGATTCTGGTGATACATTCGAGTAAAGAAACGTATTACAATTAGTTAACTACATTTCTTGTCACCCCGATAAAATTGCTTTATTTAAACTCTAATCATATGCAATTAACCACTGGAAATAGAAATGGGTTATACCTCTTTTGGACGGTACAAATGACAATGAATACTAATAACTGTTACTAATAACTAAGTCGTCATAGTACACTAGAACCTTAGTGATTTGTAATTTAGGACGTCTAGATATTTACGATGAACAGAGCACTGTTGGGAACTTTTCAAAAGCAGTGAGCGAGTTCACTCCCATTTTATGCCGTACCACCTACATGTACCAACAGTAGAGTTCGCTTAGAGACTAAATCTTATTCCTTCAATTCTGTCTTTGAATCGATGTAGGTTGTTAAACCATTTTACCAATCGAACGTGTCAAATTTGAGGTACGCCTTGTTATTTGATCTAGGGTACCAGTAAGACAACATAGATACCACTGTATTCAAGGTGGTAAAAATCCACTTAGAGAATGAACCACTATAAAAGGAAGTGGATTATTAATAACCAGGGTGGTACAAATACCTGCGGCGTAGGAGAACGTTTACATCACCGAACTAGTCAAGTTACTAATAACTAATTACTAGTCAAGTTTCTAATAACTAAGTCGTCATGGTACACTTCGGTGATTTGTAATGATTTGTAATTAAGGACGCCTGGTTATATACGAAGTACACTTGGGTGATTTATAATAATTTGTAATGCAGGACGTTCGGATATTTACGATCACCGTATAGCACTGTTGTTGGGAACTCTTCAACGGCAGTGAGCGGGTCCAGTCCCATTTTATTCCGTAACACCTACATGTACCAACAGTAGAGTTCTCGTAGTGACTAAATCTTATTCCTTCAATTATGTCTTTGAATCGATGTAGGTTGTTAAGCCATTTTACCAATCGAACGTGTCATACGCCTTGTTATTTGATCTAGGGTACCACTAAGACAACTTAGGTACCATTGAAGTGTAGGTGGTACAAAGACACTTACAGAATGAACCACTAGAAAAGGAAATGGATTATTAATAACCAGGGTGGTACAAATACCTGCGGCGTAGGAGAAAGTTTTCGTCATAGGAGGACGTTTACATCACCCAACTAGTCAACTTACTAATAACTTATTACTAGTCAAGTTACTAACAACTAATTCGTCATAGTACACTAGAATCTTAGTGATTTGTAATTCAGGGTACCACTCAGACAACTTAGGTATCACTGTAGTCTAGTGTCAACAGGTAGGTATCTTTGAAGATTCTGCCAAAGCCTTGGGTCTGAAAACACTTAGTGTCTTCATTTAGGTCCAATGTAATATCTTCCACGGTCTAATCAACAAAATTAACATAAATCATGGATCCAAATACTCCTAAAATACCAAAGCGCCAAACAAAATGCTAACACAAAAGAAACAACCAAAAAATCACTTAATTATCCTACATCATGAAAATAGTCTTCTAAATCCCCCTAATCACCCACTGAACTTAACCTTTACCTTTAACTTAAACATATTGTGTAGATTACACAACTAAACATAAACAAACCAAGCTAATCCCAAGGATCGTAAAAGCTGGTAGGACTGGGCCGCCTGTAAGCATCTGAATCGGCTGAGCCGCTGTCGTCATCATAAGCGGGATACTCACCTCCACCATCATCAGAGCCAGAAGACCAGCGCCCTCCATGACCAGTTTCAGAATCATCTTCTTCATCATCTTCAGCACCTACACCCTCGTCCTCATCCCCATGTTCATCATCTTCATCTTCATCTTCTGCATCTTCGTCATCCTCATCATCTTCATCGTCATCGTCCTCATCATCTTCATCCTCATCATCAGCATTCCCCTCTTGTTTTTGGTCCTCCATCTCCTCATCACCATTACCATCATCAGCACCACAAACAGCCACAGCACCACCCCTGTCCTCCTCGATAATCCTGTCAACAGGTTGGTCATTTCCAACAGCCGTGTCATTTCCGGCATAACCTGGCATTGAACGGATTGTGTGAATTTCCCTCTGAAGGCGTGCAATTCGCTATTCCTGGAGCTGGTGCAAACGGGCCGACAAAACACTCGCTTCTTCTAGCTTTGCCGTATGTAATGCTCTAATCTTAGCTACTTCTTCTATCTTTATCTTCTCCTCTGCATTGATTTCGTCCAACTCTGAGTACAACTTTTCAAGATGCCCTTTTACCTCAGTCACGTCCCAGTCAGCCATGGTAGCTTCTCTGACAACTAGAGACAAAATTGAAAGGGTAAATCCATGTTTCTAAATTGGTACGAAACAGGGGGTTTTTGTACCATCATGACTAATGTGGTACAATAATCTCATCCATTTATTGTAACACTATGAACAATTTCATATCATTGTGACTTTAGTGGTACAAAAATCGCCCAAATAAATTTACAAAAATCATAAACCCGACATTAATGGTTTAAAAATTAGGCATAAAGGAAACTACCAATAACACCACGAAGTACCAAAAAAAAAATCACATTATTACAGAGAAAAAGCAGGAAACATAATTAAAGAGTCTTAAACCAGTAAACGACTATTAAGAAATAGGAACATAAATTGGAGCATAATTCACTTGGCGTGGTTTTTTTGAGGTTTTCAAGACGGTTTTGAAGGGGAATGAACAGGTGTTTTACTCTTCGAACGAAGTATGGAAGTAAAATGAATACGGTGATGAACTAGAGTAATTATAGGTTCCAATTCTCGAGGGGAGGTAATGATGGCGTTTCATTTAAGAATTTTAATTATACAATTTAACTTTTTTTTTTATTGGGAAACCTTACCAATTTCTAATTGTATCAATATGGGTGGGGTAGTTATGTGTAACCCCCGGAAGTGCCTCGATGATGTTTGCAAATCGTTGTTCTAATTCATACAACCTGGATCATAATGAAAATCAAATTAAACCTTTCATTGTTCATATTCAAACAACAAGGATCATAATGAAAATCCCAATTAAACATTACATCAAGGATCATAATGAAAGTCGTAATTAAACTTTCAATCAACTAGCTCATGATTTTCAGCTGATGGTGTTAGGTTGTTGGTGAAACATCAATCAACTAGCTATTACCCATACGCTATCAACCTTTGCACAAATGATCGTATTACTATCTACTTCAGCAGTCGGGTATGTGGTAGTTGAAGTAGTGAACCGTTCATGTATTACTATCTACTTCAGCATCGAAAACCAAATGTTACTGTTCTTCTCACAATGATCGTATTGTGCCATTCATTGCTTCTTTGGATAATTACATAGTGCAAGTTGATCGAAGTTCCGATGCTCTATTCATTGCTCTAGTAGTTTTTTAAATTGTCCAATTTAAAATCATATAACGGTATTAGACAATTCTTGACTCGCTCATAGTTGAACTAAGCACCGTTGTTAGTTACTTTCCCTCGTTGTCATCTAACGTAGTTAGATTTATCTAATCTACTAGATCGGAATATACTTTTAATTTTTTCACAGTGCACTAGTGTGGTACATTTTGTTTGATTAAAGGATCCATAATATAAGAAAATTTGTTTGTTACAAATGATTTTAATAAATCATACTAAGGTTAGGCAGTGATTTAATAATTATTTGTTATTTAATATTTTGAGGAGCATTATAATTTTGTACTATTCCAATGAATTGCTCCAATAATATGGTCTTAACTCTTGAGTATGGTTGCTGTTTAGGGTAAAAATACCCTATGCCACGTGGCCCAATGAGGGCCCAACACGTGTCACCCTCATACAGGCCCAAGGGGATCCAATCAGAGGATGCCACGTGGTATTCAACCCCCAATGGGGGAGCAGATTCTCATCTGCTATAAATAGAGGAATCAACCTCATTTATTGGCATTCATAAATACATACACAAATCCCGAACAATATTAATTGCGGAATCTCCCTGAATTAGAGAGAAACAACCATTTAACCTTCCGCACGCTTACTCATCCGGAATCATACTAACTTGATCTTCGGAGGCGGAACTCCACCCAAGCGGAGTTTCGTGGTTTTGCAGGTACAGAAGGCAAGCGCTCATACCCAGTATTGTAACTCTCCCGAGGGACTAAAAACACCTGAAACATTTGGCGCCGTCTGTGGGGAGAGTACTACTGAGATGGCATCTGACACTGTACCGAATGCAAAAGGCAGCCGGCCTACGACTGACCCTGAGGTCCATACGGACCACGAAAGTGGCAGTGATGGCGACTACGATGTCAAAACCTACATGGCCCCCGACGGGTCATTCCGTTCTAGGCGCACCCATTCCAAGGAAACAAGGGAACGGGGCCACGATAAAGTTGGTCCCATCAACCCAGGCGGCAAGCTTGTGGGACAACCCCAGGCGACGGAGGGTGCAGCCCCCGTCACCAGAGACGAGCTTATGAAGTTCATGACAAGTTTCAAAGGGGAAATAAAGGACATTATCAAAAAGTCAACTGGCTTAAGCAAGGGTCAGTCGGCAAAGAAGCCTTCTCCCTCCGGGAAGAAGCAAATCAAAGACCGGGTGCCTACCCCTCACCCCAATCCCAAGGGGACGGATGGGCCCCTGATCGACCTCTCCAAACTTCGTTTCCCTGAATCTGGGCAAAGGAAGGCCATCCGGCATACATAGTGGGGTGGGTCAAAGAAGACTTTCTCTGACGCCCGGATGTTCATCCAAGAGAAGAGAAGTCAGAGAATGTCTCTGTCGGCCTCTACGTCGACCTAGTCAGACAGTTTCCAGAATGCTTCTATGAAGCATGCGGAGACGCAGCAAGGGAGTCAGTCACGCGGTGTGTCCGCGCGTATTGGCCCCCACGTGATCCAGCAGGCTCCGTATGTGCCCCAACAGCAATACGCCCCGTATGAATCTCCATTCATGTAGTCGGCTCCCTTCGGGGGTCAGGCGACATACCAAGTCCAGCCTATGGACTGGCAGCTCCAGCTGCTAAACCTTGGGGAACAGCCTTCGGCTTTCTCCCGGGAAATAACCGAGGCGGCACAGTCGGCCAAGGTTAAAAATGTGTTGGTTGGTGCCTACGACGGTACCACCAACCCAGAAAACCACCTAATTTCATACACCAACCTCATGTACCTACAGGGGTTGGATGACGCCGCATGGTGCAGATGCTTCCCGGCTACATTGAAGGGCATTGCCCAGCGTTGGTTCGGCGACCTGCCGGCTGGGTGTATCAACAACTTCAAGACGCTTGCATATCTTCTTGCGTCCAATTTTTCCATTAACATCCCTGCAAAAAAGACAAGTCTCGACCTAGGGGCAATCCAGCAAGGTGATAAGGAGGGACTTCGCTCCTATGTCAAGCGCTTCAATCTGATGAGAATTCAGATTCAGGGGCTGTCTTACGAAGTTGCATACACAGACTTCTTCAAGGGTCTGAAGGATGGGTCAACTTTCAAATTTGACCTTGTCCGCAAGAGGGTAGCTACCCTCCAAGAGGCGCTGATGGAGGTAGAGGCCTATATATAGGCAACTGAGCTCTGGGCCATCAAGCATCCGTCGAAACCCAAGTGGTCCGACAGGAGAGATAGCCGGCCTACCCAGCCGGCCAAAAAAGAAGAAAAGAAAAGAAAAGAAGTTTGGGCAGCAGACCGCCCAGGTCAGCCGTCCCAAAAGAAGCAAAGGAAGTTGGAATCGTACGTCCCTAAGTACGAGTTCAACAATGACTGCTCCTCCATCCTCATGGAGATAAAGGACCGGTTGGTAATTGAAAAACCGGATGTAATGAAAAGCTCTGTCAAGAACAGAGACAAAATCAAGTACTGCCCAGTTCCAAGAGGACGTTGGCCATGACACCAATGGTTGCTATAGTCTCAGGCGGCTATTGGACCGTCTGGCTGATGAGGGGGCTCTGGAGTCCTATCTGGTAAAGTCCAAGGGCAACCCCAAACCAAGCGGGGGACAACCGTCCAAGAAACCGACTGCTAGCTTTAAAACCGATGAAGAACACATCTTCACCAAAGCAGAAGGCTTCGCAAGAGGAGGTCCCACCATCCGGGGCACCAAGGATAACATCAGAAAATTATCCAGCCCAGAGGATGAGGGCCAAGCGTCGAAAGACACCTTCCCTAAGGTCTTCATCTGTAAGAAGGATAGGTGCATGGTCAGGCGGCCCCATGATGACCCCATCGTCATCGAATGCAAAGTCGCCAATCAACGAGTTGGTCGGATCTTAATCGATACCGGGAGCTCATCTGAACTGATCAGCTATCAATGCTTGACAAAGCTCAAGTACAAGCCTAGCAGCATGCACAAGGCTCCCCACCCCCTAGTCGGCTTTGGGGGAGGGGTACTGAATCCGGTGGGGAGGATTGACCTACCCATCCAGCTAAGAGACAAAGGGGAAAGACAGCACATGGTTGTTAAGTTTTTGGTGCTCGAGGAATTGACCGCCTACAACCTTATTCTGGGCCGCCCCACCCTCATCGAGTCTAAGGCGGTCATCATCCCCTCTCTTATGACGATCAAGTTTCAGAGGGATGACGGATTAGTGGGTGCCCTAAGCGGGGATCAAAAGACGGCAAGAGAGTGTTATCTCTCAGACGTCAGGCCGACTGTTACAGCAGCCGGTCATAATGAGGACAACGAAGCCGCGCCTGCCTTCATGACAACCGGTAAAAAAGAGAAAGGCGGACCAGATGGCCCCCGCCAGAGAAACAAAATAGCAATCATTAGCCGGGGAAAGGGCAGATGACTCCCGACCTCAGTCGGCTGGTGAGAGTGTGGATGTCTCCCTAGACGATAGCCATCCTGACAGAACAGTCAAGGTTGGGACGGTAGCTTTTGAAATGTTGGGGGAAAACCTACTCCAACTTTTGAGAGAATTCAAGCACATTTTTGTCGTTGAAGTGGAGGAGATGCCAGGCATCAGCTCGGATCTTGTTTTCCACAAGTTAGCCATTGATCCCAAAATAAAGCCGGTTATGCAAAAGAAGAGGGATCATGGCGAGGAGAGGTCTTAGGCGGTAGCCGCTGAAGTCAAAAAGCACCTGGATGCTGGGTTCATTCGGCAATCCTATTACCCGGATTGGGTAGAAAATGTTGTTCTTGTCAAGAAGCCGAATGGTACCTGGCGGATGTGTGTAGATTACACAGATCTGAACAAGGCGTGTCCGAAGGATAGCTACCCAATTCCTAAGATCGGCAGCCTGGTCGACTCTACAGCCGGTCATGCCTTGATGAGCTTTATGGATGCCTACTCAGGCTTCCC